TTGTAGATGAATAAAACGTTTGATCTACGACTACAAAGCGGTTGGATATGACTGCGACCTCAGGGGGACTGTGGGTGTCCGCCTACTTTCCGTTCTAATTCACGGAGAGGCTTTGATGGTGAAGGCGGTGGTTTTATGGTGTCAGGTTTCCATTCCAGGTCCTAACTCAAACCTAATTTCATCAAGATGGTTTTATTATTGCATGGGTGTAATAACGGCAGATTTCTGTTATGATGGTATACCACCACCACCACCATGAAATACAAATGTTGTACATTTTAAGTATGACAACTTGTTATAGTCCTCACACGATGTTGATGACACAATGTTCAGTTTAAATATGACATGGAAGAAAAGTTGAAAAATATTAGATTACTAAGACTTTTTTTCTCAAAAATCTTTTCAATAGTAGGACGAAACATGTAATGGAAAAAAAGTCAGAAAATATGTTGAAAAAAATATTTGAAAAAAAAAAAAGGCAAAAGATTTTAGGTCTAAAAAGGCTTTGATATATTGGAAAATATTGAAATATGTAAGGTGGAAATATGTCATGGGATAAATATGAAAAGAATGTTTTGAGAAGACCGTCTCAGTCTCAAAATATAAAAAGATATGACGTCAAAGTTTATATATGTCATGGAACTAAAGTACAAAACCTAAATATGTTAAAAATGGTTAGACAAAATTACAAATATCAGGTCGGAAAGATTTTTGGAAAAAAAAGTCATGGATGGTTGGCATGGATAACAAGTCCCCAAAATTACGTGTGCTTCTGCGCACAGCAGGGATCTCAATCGTAGCTCAAGTAAAAAGGCACTTTGTGCTGCACACGCGTGTGACCGTGTGTGTGGCTCGCTTCCACACACCCAGGCCAGGTGTCCGGTGCATGGAGTAGCTCGGTGGGGTCAGCAGAGAGGGATCTGGTTATGCACACCACGGAGATTAGACTCTCTGTGACTCAGAAACTGATCCAAGGAGAGAGGGGGCCAAACCTGACGCCAGACTATCTTGCTCTCTTATCTGCTGGGCGAACTCGTCTGCTCGATGACCACGAGCAGATGGCATTCCACAACAGGAAGGAGATAGGAAGTACCTGAGCAAAATGTATTGTTAGATTACACATGTTGCCTTGACAACTGTCACCTCACCCATTTTTGATTCTTTAAAAAAAACCCTGCTAACTAGCCAACTGTCTACTGTTGAATGAAGTTGTTCAACGTTACAACTGCTCTGCTCCTTTTAGTCATTTCTACAAAACTCCCCTCACCGAGTCCAGGCATCGTTGATATATATACGTTACATTACATTACAGGTCATTTAGCTGACGCTTTTATACAAAGCAACTTACATTGCATTTTTAACCCATGGCTTTTTTACATTTTTCCCTGGGGAGATATTGGGGGTTTGGTGTCTTGCTCAGGGACACTTCGACAATAATAATAATAATAATAATAATAATTTTCATGATTGTGACACCTGGAATACCCAGAGTGTAATCGGTTAGAATAAAGACAGGATTTTAAATTGTTGGGGCTTCTAGCTAAAATCAATTCATTCCATCTCGAGAAAGCTGCACTTGATGTAAATAACCAGACCGTCCTGTCTGACTGGACACACACACACACACTTTGCCAAACAGCCTGTGTTCATTTTGCAGTGTTACGGCCACAGCCTTCTGAGTTTGTTACTTTTGTAATTATTAATTGGTTTGGCCTTTCTGAGTGCAGGCTCTGCCCCTGCGCACCTGAGAGCGGTTGCGGTGATGGCTCAGGCTGAGCATATAGAGGGGAGAGCGACTGAGCGCCGGGGGAAAGGAGGAGACCTGCGAGAGCGCCAGGCCCGGCTGCAACACCAGGAGACCAGTGTTTTGTGTTCGAGCGACTATTGTGTTATGTTAAGGTGTAAAACGGAGAGGCTGGAGGTTGGAAAACTATAAAAGATCTTTGCATCGCTTCCTGCCTATCGCGTTTTCTTTATGTTGCTGACCCCTTGGCTGAACGAGCCTTCACCCTATCGAGGGGTTCGTAACATAAATGGGGGCTCGTCCGGGATATTGTGTCCGGATAGTAGCTAAGGAATTCGAGTGATCTAATTTAATTCGGGTGATCCACGTTCTCTGGTTAGACAGAGTAAGCCAGCGGGGCTGTGCTTAGCGCCAGTCCTGACAACGGTTTACTGTTTATTATTTTGCCTTTCTTATTTTAGTTTGTTATTTTTGGAGGTACTCCGGGGGAGAGAGCGATCTCTTAATCGGTACCCTCTGAAGACTAGAGAGGAAAAGTTAGCTTTATGGGTTAGGTAAGTAGGCCCAGAGAATGTTGGATTATCCTGATTATTTCTGCATATTGTTGTTTAAAAATGGCAACGTTTGAGTTAAGCCGATTTTTAGATCAACCAAATGTTGAAGTTTTAGGGACATGTCGAAAAAGTGATTTGTCTCTTATTGCTCAACATTATGGGATTCCTTTTTCTAGAACACTAAGAAAAGCAGAGTTAAAAGATTGTTTAGTGGCTGGCTTGGTTAATAAAGGTGTTTTTTCGGCCATGGAGTCTAGTCCCACTGTAGCGGCGGAGTTAGAGGCACCAGCGGCTGCGGGAACTTCGCCTTTACGCGTATCGCGTGGTGGTCCAGTAACTCCCTTGGTGGGGGTTGGTGCGGAGGAAGGTTTAGCCTACTCGATGCCTAAATTTGAGCCTCTTTCTCTTTCAACAGAATCAACAGGGAGTCGCTCAGATGCACGTCTAAAACTACGTTTAGCACGGCTGCAGTTGGAGACCCAGGACCGAGCTCAGGCAAGGCAGGATGACTTGAAGCGTCAGATCGAAATGTATCGAATTGATGCTGATACCAAAGTACGACTGCGGGAGTTGGAGTTACAGGCTGCGCCCGAGGTACCAAAGAAATCTACTGTCAAAACATCTCTGGTCGAAGGTGATCCCGTTACGTCGCCTGGTCCATCACCGTCGGGAGGCGTTGACGAACCAGTTGGTACTGGTGGTGATTCGGTAGCGCCGTTTTCAACACATTTTGACGTGGCTAAAAACATCTCGATCGTTCCACCCTTCCGGGAAAAGGAAGTGGAAGCTTATTTTCAAGCTTTTGAACGAGTGGCGTTAGCATTAGGATGGCCAAACGCGGTTTGGGCACTAATGTTGCAATGTAAACTCTCAGGTAAGGCGCAGGAGGTATGTGCATCACTCTCGTTAGAGGAAAGCGTACAGTATGAAGCCGTGAAAGCTGCAATTTTACGGGCATACGAACTTGTTCCTGAGCATTACCGACAGCGGTTCCGTACCTCGAAAAGGGGCACGTCGCAAACGTATGTCGAATTCGCTCGGGAAAAAGGCATCTTATTCGATCGCTGGACCAAGGCGTGCAAGGTAACTGACTATAACTCTTTGCGAGAGCTGTTGCTAATCGAAGAATTTAAGAACTGTGTTCCGGAACGTACTGCATTGTATCTGAACGAACAAAAAGTCAGCACTGTTCAGCAGGCTGCGGTGTTAGCTGACGAGTATGCTTTAATGCACAAAACGGTGTTTTATAAGCGTCCGTCTGATTCTGGGGGGTCCGCCGTGAAGGAGAAGGAAAACCCTTCTGACTCGAGAAGTACATGGAGTCCTCCCAGTCCGAAATCTAATCGAGAATGCAGTTACTGTCACAAAATGGGTCATAGTATGGCTGAGTGTCGCACGTTGAAACGTAAACACGAACGACAAGATTCTTCATCTTTTCCACCGCGAGGCTCGGTGTTGGTGAAAACTTTGTCTCCGGCGGTTGCAGTGTCCCCCACGACCCCAGACAGCTGCTTCAAGCCGTTCATATTCAGCGGTTTTGTTTCAGTAGGTGAGAGGGGCGAGGATCGAAAACCGGTAAGAATTCTCCGGGATACAGGGGGGTCTCAGTCCTTCATATTAGCAGATGTTCTGGATTTTGGTACTGATTCCGCGTGTAATACCAGCACGGTGGTGCAGGGTATTGAAATGGGTTTCGTGACTGTCCCGTTGCATCGGGTGCACGTTTCGTCTGAGTTGGCGTCTGGATGTTTTGAGGTGGCAGTGCGTCCCTCGCTACCTGTGAGAGGCGTTGACTTTATCATGGGTAACGATATAGCTGGGGGTAAAGTCATGCCGGTGGTGCAAGTGGTCGACGTCCCGCACAACGACTCTCAGGCGGATGTGCTTGCTAGAAACCTGCCAGGGGTGTTTAGCGCCGTGGTGACGCGAGCCCAAGCAAAACATGACCTTCAGGAAAGTAATATACTCTGCGATTCTGTGTTTCCCAAGATTCTGGGAACTGACGTGCTGGCTGATCCTCCAGAGCCGCCCAAAACGACTCCAGGGTCAGCTAGGAGCTTTGATCTCATTACTAAGTTGCTTGTTTCGCGCGAAACTCTGATTGAAGCGCAGCGAGAAGATTTATCTTTAACTCCGTGTCGGGCGAGTGCTGAAAAGGGGAAAATATCGCTGCGTAATCACCAGTTTTATTGGCACGATAAGGTGCTAATGCGTCACTGGAGTCGATCGCTAAATCCTGGGCAGCAAGACGATTGGAATGTGGTGCATCAAATTGTGGTGCCCTCGAAGTTTCGATCACAGGTCTTAGAACTGGCCCATGACCATCCTTGGTCCGGACACCTCGGTATCACTAAGACCTATAACCGGGTGCTCCAGTATTTCTTCTGGCCAGGTTTAAAAACTGATGTCGCACAATACTGCAAAACCTGTCACATCTGTCAGGTCAATGGGAAGCCTAATCAAGTTGTGCCGCCGGCTCCCCTCTGTCCTATTCCTGCCGTCGGCGAACCATTCGAGCGCGTGCTAGTTGATTGTGTCGGTCCACTCCCTCGTGCTAAGTCCGGGTGTCAATACTTGTTAACAATCATGTGCGTCGCGACACGCTTTCCGGAAGCCATCCCGTTACGTAACATCACGGCCAAGACGGTAACTAAGGCACTAACAAAATTCTTTACCACCTTTGGGTTGCCGAAAACGGTCCAAACCGATCAGGGTTCAAACTTTATGTCTCGCGTTTTCCGTACGTCCTTAAAGGCTCTTGGAGTGGCTCATGTCGTTGCAAGTGCCTACCACCCTGAGTCGCAAGGAGCTTTAGAACGGTGGCATCAGACGTTAAAATCCGCACTTCGCAAGTATTGCACCGAGACTGGAAAGGAATGGGATGATGGGGTCCCGTTAGTTTTATTTGCAGTGCGTGAGGCAAGACAGGACTCGCTCGGGTTCAGTCCGGCTGAGCTCGTGTTCGGGCATGATGTCCGGGGTCCTTTAAAAATGCTAAAGGAAGAATTTCTCGATAGAGGTTTGTCCGCGAAAACCAACGTTCTCGAGTTGGTCTCACGTACTCGGGAACGTTTGCGAGACGCTTGTAATACGGCGAAGGAAGCGCTTTCATTGTCGCAAAAGAAGATGAAGAAACGCTTTGATACAAAAGCGGTGGTGCGTCGTTTCCTGCCTGGAGATAAAGTTCTCGTGTTGTTCCCCATTCATGGGACCACTCTCTCGGCCCGTTTTTCGGGTCCGTACGTGATCAAGGGTAAGTTGAATGAAACTAACTATATCTTGTACACTCCAGAACGGAGGCGAAAAACACGTGTATGTCACATAAATATGTTGAAACCCTATTTATGTCGTGTTGAACCGAAAGCGACCACCCCTGACGATCCGGTAGCTAAGGCACCCACCGAGCAGGTCTCATTGGTAACTTATGCTTTACCCGCCGACACTGAGGATGATGGGTTGCAGGTCTCTATGGAAGTTTTAAACGGGGGGTGTTTCAAAAATTCGGAAGTCTTAACTTCCCTCCCTTCTCAACTGGCCTATTTATCTCGCGAACAGCAACTGTACGTAATGAACCTGATAAAAGAGTTTCCAAATCTGTTCAATGACGTACCTCCCGGAACTAATGTCATCCAGCATGACATCGAAGTTGGCCGTGCAGGACCTTTCAAGCAACATGCTTACCGCTGTCCCTTAACTAAGAGAGAGGCAATGAAAGCTGAGGTCCAATATTTACTAGAGAATGGGTTCGCTGTTCCGAGTAGTAGCCCCTGGAGCTCGCCGTGCATTCTGGTGCCGAAGGCTGATGGGTCCCTTCGTTTTTGTACCGATTTCCGAAAGGTCAATTCCGTCACCGTGGCTGATGCTTTTCCCTTACCACGTGTGGACGATTGTGTGGATAGTCTTGGGAGTGCAAACTACATTACCAAATTGGACCTATTGAAAGGTTATTGGCAGGTGCCCCTCACCGAGCGGGCTTCTAAGATCTCTGCGTTTGTAACCCCCGACGCTTTTCTGCAGTACACGCGTATGGCCTTCGGTCTCCGAAACGCGCCCGCAACATTTCAGCGGTTAATGTCCACAGTCTTAGGGGGGGTCCCTAACTGTACTGTTTATTTAGACGATGTTGTCGTTTACTCGTCTACGTGGGATGAACACATGTTAACGTTGCATAACGTGTTTGGCCGATTGTCCGCTGCTTCCTTAACGTTGAATCTCAAGAAATGTGAATTTGTAAAAGCTTCTGTAACGTATCTAGGGAAGCAGGTGGGAAATGGTCAAGTGCGACCACGGGACGGAAAGGTGGCTGCTGTGCTCAATTACCCAACACCTACTACGAGGAGAGAACTACGTAGGTTCCTGGGAATGGTTGGCTACTATCGTTGTTTTTGTAAAAACTTCTCGACTGTTGTTGCGCCGTTAACAACACTGTGTAGTCCAAAAGTGGGCTTTCTTTGGACTAACGAATGCGAGCAGGCATTCCTGTCGGCAAAATCTCTCCTTTGCAGTGCACCGGTGCTGTCCGCCCCCGACCTGACTCGTCCGTTCCAGCTGGAGGTGGACGCCAGCGCGGTTGGAGTGGGAGCTGTCCTTCTGCAGGAGGGTGCTGACAACCTAGGCCACCCTGTATCATACTTCTCAGCTAAGTTCAACAGTCATCAGTTGAATTATTCAACCATTGAAAAAGAGACCTTAGCTCTGTTGCTAGCGTTACAACAGTTTAACGTCTACGTGGGGGCTAGTGCGTCTCCTGTCGTTGTTTATACAGATCATAATCCACTTGTTTTTCTGAGCAAAATGTATAACCAAAATCAACGACTCATGCGTTGGGCCTTAATGGTTCAGCCGTACAATCTTGAGATCCGTCATAAAAGAGGCTCTGACAACGTAGTTGCAGATGCATTGTCTCGCGGATTAATTTAGGAACAGGTTTTTCCGTATGAATCCATGCAGAATCAGTTTTTCTTTTTCCCTCTAAGGAAGGAGGAAAAGAGGAAGGAAAAAAAATGATTCTTCCTCTAGGGGGGGAAGTGTTACGGCCACAGCCTTCTGAGTTTGTTACTTTTGTAATTATTAATTGGTTTGGCCTTTCTGAGTGCA